AGCTCACATGCACATACCCAGATACATATAAATAAATAAAATAAAATTTTTTTTAAAGCCAACCAGATAATAGTTTCATAATCAAAATAACCAATATGGAATTTGAGGGGAAAAGCTACTAAAGGAAAGACATAAGGCAGCTGTACATAGCTTATAGCTTAAAATGGTGGGAAAGGCAGCACCTCCACAGTGGGATCATAAAGGACACCTAATGCATTATGGACAATAATTTATATGAACAATACTGCTAGGCACCTCTAACAGTATCACAAGTTTGTGGGTTGCCTTGGCTACACAGTGACACACAGTCTCAAAAGCAAATAAAATCAGACTATTAAACAGAGGGTTGGAGATGTAGCTGAGTGCTTGCCTAGCATCCACATTGCCCTGGGTAGCGTCCCCAGCACTGGAGAGGTGGAGACAGGAGACCCTTAGCTACATAGCAAGTTTGAAGCCAGCCTGGCCTACATATGGCCCTGTCTCTGAACTAATTAAAAACTAATAGGGCCAGAAAGATGCTCAGTGATTGAGAGCAACTGCTGCTTTCACTGGACTTGGGTCAGTTCCCAGCACCTACAGGATGGCTCACAGCTATCTCTGACTCCAGTGCCAGGACACCCGATGCCCTCTTCTGACCTTTGCAGGCACTGCACTGCAAAACTCACACAAAGCTTTTTCCCTTCCATGTTTCTCAAGAATCTGGTAGGAATACAGAATAATCAAATGGCCAGCTGGAAAAAAGGTCAGTGTAGCTGCAAGTGGTGAGTGAGAAGGGGAAGAAACACTCTCCTTAGCTCCTCAGCCACAGTTACATGCTGGCAACCAAGAAACACTCAGTATCTCCCAATTTAGACGCCAGGCTTCAAGAGCTCACCAGGCTCAATCAGTGCCTGGGGCGTGCTCATGAGGGACCTACTACCACACAGCAGGGAAGTCATTCACAAGAGCCAGCCTTGGGCTGTGTAAGAACACCAGCCATGTTTCCACAACCTCCAGAAGGCTTAACAGTTTCCTCAGATTTCAGATGAATTACTCTTGTTTGTTTAGGTGAACGTCATACCGCTTTTAAGTCCTGTGCTCTTTAAATGGAAATACAAACAAACAACAACAAAAAACTCCAGTATATATCAGTTGGGTGTGGTGTTTCAGTCCTGTAATCCCAGCACTTGGGAGACAAAGGGGCTGAATGAAACAGGCGGACCTCTGAGTTCAAACTCAGTGCGGTCTCCAGTGAGACCCTGTCTCAAAAACAAAAACAAAAAGTCATCTTCTTCCTTTTTTTCAATAATATAGAATTAGGCTTCATAAATGACAGCCCCTGAAGTATTAGACTTGGGGTCCGGCTGCTGGGGTCTGCCTTTAATCAGGGCATAACATATATGCGACATCTTTTATCTCAGAGAATTCAGGAAGCATATGAAGATTCTTGTTTGTCAATTATCTGCATGTGCGGGGGCACTTAGAGGCTGATGAGATGGCTCAGCAGGTACAGATGTTCGTTGCCAAGCCTAGCGACCTGTGTTCAATCCCCAGACCTACACGGTGAAGACAGAACCGATTCATTCCTGTAATCTGTCCTCTGGCTTACACACACATGCTGGTAATTCTTAAAGAGAGAAAGGAAAAAGAATTTAATCTTCGTTTCAGCATTGTGAAGGATGAGAAACACTTATGCTCTCCCCACCCAAAGGAGAGCAGCCTAACCACATGACTGAGAAAACTGCCAGAGCCCCACCTCAGAGAACCTGCAAAGGGTCATTACTCCACTAGGGATAACGGCTATCAATCTGGCTCCTAGAAGAACCAGCAGAGAGTAAGGGTTTTAAAACCCAATGATCCCACCAGGAAGACCTGTTTATGTAACTATGGCAGCCTTTAGCACTGTTAAGAGTTAACAGTTAACCCCAGTTAAGAGTGCCTAACCCATAACTCCAAGGACGTGAGCAGTCCAGAACCTGTTCTCCCCCCTGGAGGCAATTACCAGGAGCCTGCTCAGGATAGGAACTTCTCAGGAGGCTACTGGAAGCCAAAGACTGGATAGCCCAGTGGTCTCCACCTCCGCCCAAAGGGATGTATGTGTTTCAAGATCCCTAGCTGATGCCTGAAATTTCAGCTAATTCCAAACACTGCATCTCATACATACCTGTAACACATTTAATCTCTAAAACAGGCAAAAAGAGTAATAGCTGATAATAAAATAGAACAATTATAACAGACTGTAACAGAGGTTGAGGGCTTTATTACATTTTCCTTATTTTGGACCATGACTGGCCAAAGGGAAGTGAGAGGAAAGAAATGGAAAATGTGGATGAAGTGCAGCTGTGATAACAGCTCACAAGCTGGAGCCATGCAGACACGGTGCTTCAACGACAAAAAGATTACCCATTTATCTCAAATGATCTAACTCTCCCACTTCAGAATACAGCCCCACAACAACCTCTATCCTATTCACCCACGTGCATGGCTATGCCTGGATTCCAACTGTGGTATTCCCAGAATAATTTTCCTCGATACAAGATCCTAATTCCCTTCATCATCAAAGGTTCAACTTACAGCAGAGCATAACCGGAGTGGTGAGGACTCTTTCTTCATGCTAAGTTCTCAAATGATGACTGTCCAAATTTTCTGGGGCTGAGATCTGAACTCAGGGAGACTCTCACATGCAAGGTGAGACAAGACTACATGAGCTACCAACTATTTTCCGCACTGTTTCAAATGAGTATTGTGTGAAAACTGAGGGTGAGAAGCAGGTTTCCTCAAAACCACAGCAAATAGGTTTGAGAAACCTTTTTTTTTTAAGTCTTTATTTTACAAATGGTTCTTCCATCTGAAGCACTGTCAGCAAGCATAAGCAGAGACGCAAGTGGAGCAGAGCACACCTTCTCACATCTAGATGGGAAACATTTTGTGCTGGGCTCTCCCGCACAGCTATTGCTGATGGGCAGCAGAAAGCCATTTTTTAAGGTTATTCTAAAAACCTGTTTCCTGGATAAGACCCTAAAGGCACACACTCCACCTCTTCACTATGATACAGAGCCATCCTAACTTAGAAACACCTTCATTTCCTCATTGCTGGGGTTTTTTTTAAATAAGTGAGATGAATGCTTAAAAATATGAAAGTATCCGATAAACTTTTGTTCACGGAAGTTTAAGGTAAATGGGTTTGTCTAGAAGTGCTGCCCTTGCGTGTGTTCGAAGGAAAATACAATTTTTATTTTGGGGACCAAGGCCTATCTGGTAGAAGATGAAGTGTTCACTGCCACCTGGGTTATTGGCTCATTTCTGCATTACCTTGGACAAATGCCATCTGAAAACTCCCTACCAGCCCTTAGGTGCATTGCAGCCTCTGTGTCATTGTGTGACATCACTGGGTTGCTATGGATATAGGTGCGAGGTCACTCACTCTCCTGTAGAACTAGAAATAGGGGAAAATTAGAGGCTAAATATCATGAATCGAAGACATTTTCAACATTAGTGACCTACTGGAAGTCCAACTTGTATTCTTTAATCGTTAAATCCTTATAAAAAGGCAACTGTAACCCACTAATACAACAGTGTCTCTGGTGTTAAAACCAATTATTTTCATAAAATGAAAATAAAATCTGTAGCTCATTTAATTTGGAAAGGATAGGCAGCTGATCTTTTGAAAACCAAGAAAAAAAACATTAATATCTAACACGCCAGGCACACTCCAGTATCCACTTCACAGAGATGCATTTAACAGCCTTTGTTATGTAAGATAGGAAGTTAAATATTAAGGGAGTGGGAAACCCAATTATTAATTTTTCAACTGAATTTTGCAATATTTAGCACTTTCCCCTCCTTGTCTGGAAAACTGGTCCCCAACTCATTAATAAATGAGTGTTACTGACAAAATGGTGCAACTAGGTAGGGTTTTCCATCTCAGTCAAAAATGCGTCAGTATTCTCATCAGAATGAGGATGCATTAGATCAGAGGAAAAATAGCCTCAGATGCATTTAACAAAAAAATAAATAAATAAATAAATAAATAAAAACAAAAGACTTTTGCCCCTTTAAAATAACTCCTCCCAGCCTCCACCCAGTCTAGGCTCTCTGCAATATGACAAATGCAGAATCTTCTGGAATGACTTGATACTGCCTCCCACCACCGCTTTGTTTGCAGTATCAGATCAGAAAAAATTTTTTACACTTATAGGAATTTCTGCAGACTCGTGCCTGCATTCAGAAGAGAAACCGCATATGTCACAAATTGAATCAGTCAGTTAATGTTCAAAGGAATTATATTTAACCCTTTAAAATGAAAAAGAAATGAAAAATGAAGATGGCATAGAGGACCATGAATGGGAATGCCAGCGAACACTAATTCCTCCCTTCCTCAAAGCCAGAGGACCTGCTTTGGGGACTGGGTAAAGGGAAGCCTTTTGTTAAGGAAAAAACGTGAACAAGGTGGTTTCGATTTTACACCACTGAGGATTTTTTTTGGGGGGGGGGGATCTACATATCTTCTTCCCGAAATGTCTTTAAAGAACGTCTGAGGGGTGTAGGAGGAAGATGGTGTGTGTCGGGGGGCGTTGAGTGGGGAGGCGGAAAACTGGGAGACCTGCTGAGTGAATGGGAAAGGCGCCGCCCAGACACCAGGGAGAGAGAAAGAGGAACCGCATCCATGCGGTCCCCCCGCCCCCACGCCTAAGCGGGAGGAGGGGAAGTGGGGCACAAAGGATGCGCACGGCCCCCAACTCAGGTCCCCTGGACACCCAGGGTCCCAGAGAGACCCCCACGGCAGAGTCCAGCCACGCGAGACCCCGCCCCAGCTCCGAACTCGGAGAGGCTGGGAAAGAGGCCGCGTCACCACTCGGGTGCATGAGCGGCTTACTAGGACCCATCCCCAATCCCTCCAAGGAGATGGAGAGGTGACCGTGCAGGCAGCAGGCGACATGGCCCTGGGCATGCCTTCCGGCCGAGGATCGAGGCATGGGGAGCGGCGGGGCGAGGCCGGGGGGAGGGGAGGAGACACTCACGTTCTTCATGGCCGCGGCCATATCGTCGTAGCGCTCCGCCTGCTCGGCCAGCCGGGCTTTCTGCACCAGTTGCTCGCGGTCCACCATCTTCGCAGGGCTGAAGAGGGTCGGCTGGAAAGAAGGAAACCAAAGACCGCCTTGAAGGGCTTTAGGGAAAGAGAGGCGCGGGTTGGAGCCCGTGTGCCGGAGGGACCGACCGACGAAGCAAGGTGCTGAGGCGAGGACGAGGACGAGGAGGCGGCACGAGCTGCGACCGCGGGACCAGGCGCAAGAAGGCTGCGGCTCCACTGCGTGCCGCGGGCGGACAACCCCCTGCGGTCCCGCCCACACGAGTGACGTAAAGCCGCCTCCTGCTCGCGCATGCGCGCGCCCCGCCCGACCCTGCCCTTCCTGGGCTTCTCCCCTATGGGAACGTCGGCTGTGGCTGCTCGCGCTTTTCTCGGCGTCTCCCCAGTTCTTCGCTGCTCCCTAATGTGTCCCTCTCTTCACTTCACCCTAAGTCCTCAACTTGGCCAAACCCCCTCTTCTCGCCCCCTGAAGGTTCTATATTTGCATAGCCTCTGGCGTGTGAACTCCTGGGAGTTGTAGTTTGACCCGCTGCAAACTGACGGGCACCGCAGACCAAGGACAAAGGGGCGGTGGAAACTACATCTCCCAGCGGGCGTAACGCGCAGGCAGAGGCGGACCGGGTAGGGGGTAGGGTCTAAACCCGGGGCCGCTAGGGACCCCTTGCTGGGATGCATCCTGCGCTAGTCTAGGCGTTTGCTGATTCACGGTCCAACCCCATGGCCTCTGGGCAGTTAGGAGGAGAGAAAAGGCCAAGGCCTCAGTTTTTCTGTCTCAGAAACTGAAGTAACTGGTCCTGGTTGGGGGGTGGGGAAAAGCACGAGTATAGAGTAGGCAAGAGAAGTGCAGACACCACAAATCCGAACTACCCAACCACCACCTTCAAAAGGGTGAGCCTGCCCTAGAGATGGCTGCGTGAATGATGCAACCTTTGTTAAACTGTCTCACCTACCAAGGTTGCAGCTTCCAGTGATGTCTCCACTTTGACATCGGGCTTGACTGGATGAAATCATGAAATAACAGCTACCGGGCATATCGCTTATTTTCCCTAAATGATGAAGCTGTGTGCAGACTGACCCTGGGGCACTCTGCAGTGAAGGCACTGAACATTGAATTCAACTGAACCAAAGCCCGCTTAAGCTCACACCCCCGCCCCTATAGTTTTGACTGCGTATTTTATTTTCGTTGTTTTTATGGATTGTTTTGTTTGAAACAGAGTCTCACAGCGCTCAAGATGGCCTCGAACTCCTTATATAACTAAATCTGGCCTTGAATTCCTCCAGACCCAAGTTCTGGAGTTTTAGCCACGTACCAACACAATGATGGGGACTGCCTATTTTATTTGCTTCATCTATTCAACATGTCGAGCACCTACCCTGTTCCAGTGACTGGGTACAGCGGGACACAACAATAGACAAAACACTCCGCTCAAGAAAATAGGAGAGAACTGTTACGTTGCAAACTAGGACAAACAGCTGAGGTGCCCATTTAACATATCAAGGTAGACCCGGCCCCCAGATTCCTCTAACAGCCCTAAGGCCCTACCTGTTACAAGGTATGGCTAACACAGCCAGCCCTCTACCCTGAGCTTTCCAGCTTGCGGGCTGGGCGGCTCTTTCACCCAGAGGCTTTTCCATATAAAATGCAGACATTTTGGTTACCCGCCTGTAGCGATAATTTCAGTTTCTTTAAAACACACGGAAAGGGGCTGGAGAGATGGCTCCACGGTTAAGAGCAATGTCTGTTCTTCTAAAGGTCCTGAGTTCAATTCCCAGCAACCACATGGTGGCTCATAACTATCTGTAATGAGTTCTGGTGCCCTCTTCTGGTGTGTAGGCTCACGTGAAAGCAGAGCACTGTATACATAATAAATAAACAAATCTTTAAAAATCGGAAGACATGAAGCCGGGCACAGTGGCACACACCTGCAATCCCAGCACTTAGGGAGGCAGAAGCACGCAGATCTATGTGAGTTCAAGGCCAGCCTGGTCTACAAAGAGAGTCCAGGACAGCCAAGGCTACACAGAGAAACCCTGTCTCAAAAAATTAAAAAAAAATTTTTTTTAAAGGCTAGACAGATACAGATACCTGTCTCAAAAATCCAAATGATGGTTTGGGGAAATGGCTTGTTGTTTAAGAGTGCCGGCTGAACTTCCCTAGGTCCTGGGCTCAATTTCTAGCTCCCACATAGTGGCTCACAACTGTGTGTAACTCCAGTTCTAAGGGATCTGACATCAACTTCTGCTCCATGGGCACAAGTCATGCACACTGTGCACAGATATAAATGCAGACATAACACCTATAAAACTACAATAAAATTAAAAACTAAAAAAATCAATCCAAAAAGAGGGCTAGCAAGATGGTTCAGTGGATAAGGGCGTTCGCCACCAACCTGACATCCAAAGTACAATCCCAGGGACACCCGCACAGTAAAAGGAGAGAACTGATCCCAAAAGTTGTCCTCTGACCCATACACACAAAAAACAGGGCACGTGCCCCTTCATACACACACAAAACAACAAAAATACAGAAAGAAAAATTCAAAAAGGAATGGAAAACGAAAAAGAATGACTAAGACAAGTGAGTAACTGAATACAGTTTACAGGCGACTGCTCTAGCAAGCATGGAAGGAACAGACCAAACTGAGAGAAATTCTAGAAACAGTACTGCTCTCTACCGTCTCCTGCACAGGATATGGCCTGGTCTCTTCTCTTATCATGTCACCAGGCAATAGGCCCTGGTGTAATAAATAAATAAATAAATAAATAAATAAATAAATAAATAAATAAATAAATAAATAAATAAGTAAAATAATAATAATAATTCAACCCTTCCTACTTTCTTCTGGCTCTACAGAAGCCTCCTCCTAGTCTCCGAGACGCTCCTCTTCCCTGCAGACCCTGATCCAGTCTGAGCACCCTGAGTGTTATTAAACATGCCAATAAATGTGATGCTGTGATGTATAGCGTGAGTGTAATACTTGGAGTTGGGAGGTGCAGCCAGGAAGATCTGGAGTTCAAGGCAAACGTGAGCTACACGGTGAGACCTTGTCTCAGAAGAGAATTAATTAATTAATTAATTAGTGAATTTAAGGACATCTAGAGACCTGGACCTTATCTCAAAGTAAAAAAGTTTTGTTTTTAATTTGTTTCTTTTTTGAGATGGTCTGCTCTTCAACTCTCTATGTAGCCCCAAGCTGGCCTTGAACTCCTGATCCTTCTCATTACTCCACCTCCCAAACACTGGATTAAAGACCTATACCATCAAAACAGGCTTCAAAGAGAAGAAAATAAGGGGTGGAGGAGAGCAGGAGTAGAACTGGGTGAGACAACTCAGTGGTTAAGGGCTCTTGAGGAGAAAGCTCAGCAATCTCAGTTCCATCACAGGACCCACTTAAAGGTGGAGGGAAAGAACCCAGTCCACAGGAGTGTCTTCTAGGTGAGTGCAATGGTAACCCATAATCAACCCAGCACTCAAAGCAGAGGCAGGCAGATCGATGTGAGTTCGTAGCCCAGCCTGGTCTACAAAGCAAGTCAAGGATAGCCAGGGCTACACAGAGAAACCCTGTCTCAAAAAACCAAAAAAGTAAAGAATTTAAAAACTGTCTTCTGACCTCCACATGCCCCCCATGCACATATGCTTAAGAGTGTGTGGGCGAGCATGGGTGTATGTTCACAAATATACATAGACAAACACACTCGTGCACTCTCACACATATACTCATACACTATTAAAGAAAAATAAATCATTGAAAAGAGGACAGTCGGCTCAGCAGTTAAGAACACCGGCTGCTCTTCCAGGGGACCCACGTTCAATTCCCAGCACCCACATGGCAGCTCACACCTGTCTGTAACTCCAGCTCCAGGGGATTCAACACCCTCACACAGCTATACATACAGGCAAAACGCTAATGCACATAGAATAAAAATAAATCATTTAAAAGTTGAAAAAAAAAAAAGACAGCTGTGTGGTGACACACATTTTAATATTAGCATCTGTAGGACTCAGGCTTTCTGTAAGTTCAAGGTCAGCCTGGTTTACACAGTGAGTTCCAGACCAGCTAAGGCTACAATGTGAGAACCTGTGTAAAACAAACAAACAAAAATGCCAGGTGGGACAGTGTACACCTGTAATCCCTGCACTGGTGGAGTCAGAGGCAGCTGGATCTCTGAATTCAAGGCCAGATTGATCTACAAAGTGAGTCCAGGACAGCCAAGGATACACTAAGAAACCCTGTCTCAAAAAAACAAAAACAAAAAACATGCCGGCGAGAAGGACCTTGGACTCCTGATCCTCCTGCCTCTGTCTCCCAAGTGCAAGGATTACAGATGTGAACCACCACATCTGGTTTATGCAGTGCTGGGGCTTGAACCCAGGGCCTCATGCATGCTAGGCAAGCACTCCATGGCTGAGGTACAACATCCCATTGAGCTCTGCCCCGGAGCCCTTTCCCCATTTTTCAGACAAGAAGGCCAAGACACAGAGAGGCTATGTGAAATTATACAGACATTGACTAGCTGAGCGTAAAAGGAAAGCCAAGCAGCCTCCCGGGCTCCCTGCAGCAGTCACCCACCCCTACTCCCTCCCTGAGGCCTGATCTCTACTGGCATCTTTCAGAAAAGGGGGGAGGAGCCGTGACTGTGCAGACGGATCCGACACAAGCATATCCTCCACCCTTCTTCAGCACGGCAGGACACCACCTTCTAACCGCATCTTCTCTGGCTGAGTTGGCAGACAAGCAGGCCAGCCAGGAAAATCAGTGGCCTGCAGTCCCCTGACTGCTGGCTCCTTCCTGAGGCTGGAGATATCCCTGGATCAGTCCAGAAGATGACAGTGGCATTGGCAGCAGCGACTTGGAGGACCTACCAGCAATGCATCCATCCTGTGCACTGAGACTGCTGTCAGCCCTTCCTTAACATGGACAGATTGAAGTAGGGGCAGGAAACACCATGGTTCAGATGCAAAGAGTGATGAGAGAATCTCAGTAGGCCTCCTTTACAGTAAGTCCTAGAGCAGCAGGAGGGGCCTGTGCTGAGAGGCAGGACTCAAATATTAAGACCCTGACTTTGTCACTAGATGACCTTGGGCAAGTGTTAGAGGTTGGTCTATATTCTACAGATAAATAAATTATATAAAGATAGATATGTCTTCAAAAACATCAGAGACCTACAGAATATGGTATTTAGAAATATTTTTATTATTTTAAAGATTCTTTGACAATGAGACATGTCATCTCCTGGCAGCACCCAGC